ATCCTCTCTTTATATAATATTACTTGCACACCATGTACATTATTATACATACAGCCAATACAGATTTTAAGTGAAAAATATATTATTTGCTTTTGTTTGGTGAGCCCTTTTTAGGATTATCAGGATAACTTTGTTTTAAGGGAGTTAACCCTAGCAACATGATGTGTCTATCATACACTCTTGAGTTTCTGAACATGACATCGGTGCCATGAAGGCGGTCCAGAACACCAAGAACTCCATAATTTTGAGTAAATCTAAAACAAAAAAATATATAACAACTATAAGTTACAGCATGGTCAGTTGCTCTGTCATCCTGGTTATTCCACATGTAAAAAATTACTTTCACTTTTACCGTTACGAGTAACATTCAGTTAACTAAGGCACCTTTGTTGAGAGTACACATCCAGGGAGCAGGAAATACCACTATACAATGGTTTTAAGACATGCACATGTTATTATACATTATGCTTGTAAAAATACACTTAAATGCACTTGGAACTCCAATCTACATGTAAACAACATGTATTAAACAATTTGCATTAAAAATATTCTGGTTGGTTTTCTCATTTAAAGAAGCTTAATATTATCACCAGCAAAGGGCTAAGCTGTGCAAGTCCTCTGATTACACAGGCCAGCACTAAATACAAATCAATTCCTCTTACTTGAGGTGATGGAAGTCATGAGCTTCTGGTGATGGCATAAATGGCAGGTGATAACCACTGTGCGTGTTGACTGTGGTCATAATTGCCAAAGCAAACCACATCCAGGCCGTAGCAATGTGGGAGCCCATTAGCAATGGTCCAAGAACGATTGGAGACAGGTTCGAACAAAGATGCTCCAAAGGGTGGGCATATAATGCCACAACACCAATTGGAGCTGTCCATTCATGGTGGATCTTGTGAACAAAACGGTAAATACGAGGATGATGGAAAAGTCTAGTGGAAACAAAAACAAAACAAAAAAAATGAAGCTCAAAAAGCTAACTAAATCATGGGAATGTCTTTCAACAAGTTAAGTTCTAAAGTTCAAAATCTACTTTTAATTGCATGTACCTGTGGCTGTAGTAGAAACCAACTTCTTCCACCAAGGAGAAAATTGCAATTTCAAACAGCACCCATTGGAAGGTGGGTAATTCTGGACCCAAGGGGCAGCCTCGCCAGGTGTACACAGGGTATAGAACAATAGAGAAAAGGCCACCAACTACAATCTGGTTGAATAAAACTAACTTCACTGCACGCATAAGCTTTTTGTGGTCAAGCTGAAAACAACGAAAAGCACACTGTTAATACAACACTGTTGTTACCACTCTCTGACCAAGTTTAAAGAGAACGTGCAATGACATAAAATAACATGTCTTCCAACTCTTCTTAAAAAAAAAAAAACCCTGTCTTTTCTGGCTTCCACCAACTAAGAATTTCTCAATAAACATCTACAGATTTGATCTGTTGTCATTAAAATAATTATCTGCTTTCAGATTTTTTGACTGCATGTTGATTTTCCTGTACCTCTACTTTGAATTCACAGTGAGCCCTCCCCCCAAAATAAAAAACAGCAGCATCTTGTTGGGTTTACATACAACCTTTATCTTGTACTTTTCCATTCCTAAAATATTAATTCTTAGCACAATCTGCAAAACATTTCTTGTGGTTTCACTCTGAGAAATTAATGCTAAATCAAACAATTCAACATCATTGATTTTTTCTTTCTTGTCTCATCACCTTTCTGTTTGCAAACATACCGACATTGCACAGAGTGTTAAGGAAGGGAAAAGGTTAAATTTCAGTGCTAATAACAGCTTTTACTTTTTACATCATTACAGCAAATGATTTACCGGCTGATTTGTTCCGTCCTGTATTTTATACTGCAGAACCCACTTTGGCCACCCAGTAAGATCCACAAACAAATAAAATGCATTGAATAACCAAAACACAACAAATGTCACCACATTTGTTCCTAAACAACAACAATACAAATGAGTAAAGATTTGAACTTGTATTAGTTAAGTCAGTAATGACATGAGTATGCATATTCTTCATACTGATTTTGATAGATTTCCCACACTTACATTTGTATAGCTTTTGTTTAACTGTATGAAAAATGTAATTAACCTAAAAGGGCAATTAATTAACTCACTATAACATTGCCTTCTCCATTTCCTTTTTCTTGCAATTATTTAAAATGTTGTACTTGTTGAAATGGAGGAAATAAAAAATACACAAATCGTACTGACAAGAAGATTTTGTGTAAGTATGGAGAGCTTCTTTTGCTGACAATCATTTCCTTTATTTTCACCCGACCTTGGTATTTGACTTACCAATGATATTGTCAGGAGAAATAGGATGCCTGTCAATTCTAGGGGTTAACCCTTTAACTCCCAGATCAAATTTGAAATTCTCCTTCATGTTAACCAAGCAATTCACATAATGTTAGTTCAGAGAATTTAGTATTGGACCAACTGATTATCCCCAAATTGAAATTTTTCTCAATTCTCATGACTTATCTGTTTGATATTGCATTGATATTGTAAGGAGAAATTCTGTTTTGGTCACTTGTGGGAGTGAAAGGCTTAAAGGGTTGAGGGTTCCATAGTATCAGTGGTTACTAGTCTTAGAATATATTCCTATCAAGATTTCATTTATTTTTTGGCTTGAAATTCATTGAAACAGTATTATTTCTACTTTGCTCTGTGTCAGATATGATAAGTCCAGGATAAGGGAAGATTACAAAATGTATTCAACAGCAAGACATTAAAATTATAATTAGAAAAGTGATGACTATGAAGATTACACTTCTTACCTACTACAGTAAGTAAAAATTGATCTCCACCAAACAATGAGTGGAATTTTGCCCACCATCCCTGCCAAAGATCCCCAGAGGCTCCCCAAACACGTTCCACATGCCTGTGATCAAACAAATTTTTATAACTTGAATTAGAGGCATCAAATGAAAATATTCCTCCTGATAAGATTATCAAAGCAAGGATAGATATTGTGGAAAAGCTATAAAAACTTTGAATTATGGTTCCTTTTGGCTTTGGATTGAAGTGTGTTTTGTCCAGGGCTTTACCCACTCAATAGGAGAGCTGGAAAAGTTCATACCAGGCAGGGAAGTCTATATGTCAAACCCTTTGCACCACCTTTACATCAGTATGCATATTCTCCATACTGTTCTCTGCACATTTCCTAAGGTGCTGACAATGAGAACTTTTTTAACAATCACAAGCATCTTTAATCTGCAATAATTTCCTTTATCCTTGTGATCTATATGTATGACTCAGATGTAACATTGAAAGAAGAAATTAGCAGCTAGTCACTCTTAGTAGTTCACTAGTTAGGATTATCAACAGCTCTATGTTTTGATATTTGATATCAAAGAGTGGAGGGGATTAGAAAGAGGAGACTGATGACATTAGAGTATGGTCACAAGACTGCTTTCAATACTAGTAAGGGGAAGGCCCTGAACAGAGAAAGATTGAGAACCATTTTGCAACAACCCCTGAGTAGGGGACTCACAAGAGATCAGCTTCCAAAGGAACATCTATGGATGATCAAGGAAAGGAGCACAAAGAACAGTACTTCATTGTAGCATGTAACATTTCTTACCATGTGATGGTGTTTCTAGCTGCTGCAAAGCAAATTAAAGCTGTACCGACCACAAAGGCTGTTTTCTTTAAGGCAGCTATCACAGACTTGCTATCCTAGAAAAAATATGCAGCAAGATTATTAAGAATCCTACACAAACATAACACAACATTGAAGGATTTCTAGCTCTGTTTTATTGTGCAATGATTATTTATTATATAAAAGTTTGTACCGAAGGTGGAGCATTCTTATCTCTTGGTTTGGCCCATTCTGGCATAACTGGACTGCCTTCTACCTCTGTCATCCTGAAAAGTAAAAGAATGTTAGGTGCTTTGTCTCTGCAACAACCATTAAAAATGGAAATTTTTTCATTTTCCTAATGCATTCAGTTGTTGAATAAGAAGGATTTTGAAAGAGAAAGCATCTCAGAAAACATGCCTAGTTTTGAGGCCTAAATCGACCAAGAAAATATCAATAATTTAATTGTTTAAGTCAGAGGTCATCTACTAAGAAAAAGTTTTCTTTTTTTTTAATAGATTTATATAAAAGAAACAAAAGGAACAGAATAATACAAGTGAAAACAGTAACAAATCCCCTCAACTTTGTTTGTGAATTGTTCTCCTTGGCATCATTACGTGTTCTTCATGGTATACAATGTTCCTTTATCATCTAAATAATTTTTTTAGAGCTAGGTGGACATTATTGCATCATTATAAAAGAATTCCCTGGGGTAATATCATGAAAACTGAACAGGAACAGGCAATTAATTTCACTATTCCCTAGCAGTATTGTTTAATTCCCTGAGTATATAATATCATACAAGCTTGTTTAATTCCCTGAGGTAATATCAAACAAGCTGAACAGGAATAACAGGCAATAAAGTGCATTCTTTAACTACTCCTTAGGGAGCCTTCTTTTGATGTCATCTTGTTGAAGTAACCCCCCTCCCACGTCCCAACCCCCGACCCAACCCACACTATTCAAATGCCCACGCAGGTGATACAAGGTGAAATATTCACAAAATTCTTACTTATTTCAAACAAAATATTCATGTTTTCTTCACCACACTGTTCACGTTGAAGTGGAAATTCACGAGCGTAATTTCAATGTAGGGGTCACAACACCTTACCAATTTCTTTATATTATAACTCAAACTTAGATCGATAAACAAAACATCTTAAGAATTTACATCTTCCGTTCTTGCTGAAAAACAGTTCCTTCTCATTAATTAGTATGCTTTTCAGACGCAGCTAATCAGTTTTTGTGAAAGAGAGCTGTAAATTTCACTTCAAAAGGCCTTATTTATATCCAGTTATGCAACCGCGATGATTCTAATATCTGCGTATGATTCAATATTTACTTGGGCAAGAGTCAAAACATTGCAACAGTCCGCCATTATCGTTTTTCGCGAAAAACCCACAACATAGCTTCGGCGACGGTCAAAAACCCGAAAATTTCGACTAGTTTCGATCAATTTGATAGCTTCTATACAAGAAAACGTTTGAAAAAGAAAAATATAATTAAAATGGCAGGAATCTATGAGGAATACAGCAAAACATTTGTATGAAAAGTCGCATGACATAACACATATTCGCACGGGCGGTTCGTTTCTAACCGAAAAAATATTCACTCGCTAAGCTTACCTTCACTTTCAGGCTTCTCGACTTTTAAAGCTCGCCTTTCCTTAAATCTCAGTTATAGATACCTATCCAATATGGTACAGTTAACTTTCCTTTTCCGCTGAATCAGACACTGCTCGGTTAGTTTGTTGACAACTTGATATGATCATGTGACTCAAAAGAGTGCAAAGTCCCCTGAGAGATTGGCCCGATGACGTAAGTGGTATGATTACTATAGAGATCTTAAGTGACCTTGCATTCAGGACAGGATATTATCAATTTTTGTCGACGTCAAAAGTTTAAGGAAAGGCTGCCAACGTCACGAAGCTAAACTTTCCAGGCACTGATCTAATGACGCAACAGACGAACTTCAACGATGTTCTTCCGCGCGCATGATCAGCTGGGAAAACCTCTAGGTCACGTTTTAGAAAACGTGACCTTTCCACGGAACTCTATATGAACACGAGCCATTTCGTTATATTTCTCCAGATTGATCGAGTGAATAGACTTCTTTAGCTTGAATGTTTTGTTTACCCATTTAAGGCCTCAAGGGAATTCTGCAAAAAAAAAAAGGGGGGAGGGGGGGGGGGCAAAGAGGGCGCTTAATCGAGCCGAGTGCTTATTGAGAAACTGTCAACCCGTACCAGGAGTCCATCACCCTAATGATGGGCACCTGCCTGTGTTAATTCCAATGTAGTTGAAACCTCAATATTTATTCATTAAGTGGCAATAGAAATGGGTTTTCCTTGTGTCCTCACTACACAAGAAAGTGAAGAAGGAGAGGGAGGGGGGGCCTTCTTCGAGGAGGGCGCGTGTTTGATATTATAGCCTTGCGGATGGGCGCTTATTTGCTAAAATTGAATTTTAGTACATGTTAGACCCACTGAATGCAGACACCTCACATCGCAGTGTCGTCAGAGAAAGTATTCACTGCCTGTATTTTCTCCTTTCGACCACTTGAGCTGAAAAGTTTAGTATTTGGCAATGGCTCTTGCAAATGGTCGTCCGTTATTCTCTCAAGATGCCTTTTCATTATTTAGGGGCTGCTTTTTGTTTCTTTGTTTGTTTCTTTTCTTTTGCTGTTTTGTTATGAAGTGAAAGAAAAAAATCGATAAGCCAAATTAGACTGTTCTATAGCAGCCTTGATAAAGATATATAAAGTGGTAAGGGGCACTTTTTTTTAACCTCAAGTTAAGAAAGATTGTGAAAAGCAGCAAAGGGAAGGGGCAGCGAGAGGAGAAAAGGTAATCTTATGCCTAACTACTTGGCCGTGAAAGGTCTGGGTACGAGACTTGACTGACTTGCCCAGGGTCATCTTGTGGCTCCTTGTCAGCGGAATGGTCGATACCGCTGACAAGGAGCCAAAATAACTCTGGGCTCAATATTGAGTTCTCACCGGCGGAAAAACGTTACGATCGAGAGTTGCACATGTACGCAGATAACTATTCTCCATTTTGATCTCATTTTTTAAAAACATAGTGATACTTATCAGTTCCTAGACATAAATTCGCAATTTTTTTTAGATATTTGAAAAGATGGGCGAAACAACAGAAAAAAAGGATGAAATTAAAGATGTCGCAGATTTACTGGCAAAAACTAAAGTCGAACAAGTCAATGTTGTAAGTTTCAAAGGGAAAAGTTTCAAGTTGAACACAGCCGACGATGGTAAGCCTGTTTTATATTGTTCGGCAGATAAATAACTTGGTTAATGCACTGTTGAGCTCCTAAAATTAATACGAACAAGACGGGTCGTTTTAATCTTTTAGTTTGAGGACATTTTCATTTAAAAAGGATATGTTCTGAATGTGATCACGTGAAAAACATTTTCGACACAAATTTGATATGTTGAACCAACCTGCTAATAGCTTAAATTGAGTTCAGGGTTCAAGTGCACATTAAAGGTGCTATGATGTTTCAAGAAGTAGATTGGTGTAACCAGCAGTGGTTAGTTGCTAAGTAACAAAGAATATGACATTGATGGAGACTGAGAAGCTCTAGAGGCATTATTCCATGCCTTTGTATTTTCTGTCCGTTAAGATACCACTTTGCTTTTCCTAGTTCTCCATTTAACTTCTGAGTTACCATTTAGCAATCTAAAATCCTAAAATGGTCACTAATACATCAGGTATTTTTTTCTTTATGATATATTAGCTGCAGAGGTTGTAAATGCAATTAAGGCAAGCAAAGATGTCCAAGCTTTGTGTTTGGAAGGAAACACCATCGGAGTAGAAGCAGCAGAGGCTATTGGAGGAGCACTTGCAGCAAGACCTGAATTTGAGGTGATAAGACATAGTTATATAGATGTAAAAAATCAAAAGTAAGTAATGTAGTTAGTCAAACCAGCTGCATCTGCTTTTCTGCATGCTTAGTGTCTGTAGCAAACACTGCAAGATATAGGTAAGAGTTTCCATAGAGAACAGGATTGTAATTAAGTCTGACTCGGTTATTGCATTGCTGACTCAATGTAAGAGTTAAGGGTTTTTTTAGGCCTGACTTCCTCTGAGTTGTTGTCAAACTCTGCAAGTTTGCAAACTACTTTGAGGAGTGTAGTAAAAAACCACAGAGAAGACAGACAGCTTAAGGGAGTTAATAGTTGATACCATCAGCTCAGGGAAGTTTACTGATAACTTGGAGGAATTCGTGACAGTCACAGTCAGTGAAAAAGTTAAGATTTTTCTCTTATTATAGAGAGCATTATGGAGTGATATATTTACTGGCAGACTGAGATCTGAAATTCCACCTGCATTGGTAAGTCTTGTAGCATCAGTTATTTTGAAAGCTCACGTGAGTTAATTGTTAAAGAAAGATCCATACTATCCTTAACCCTTAAAACCCTAAGAGTGACTAGTATCTAATTTCTCCTCACCATATCACCCCTGAATCAAAATTGAAAGACATGAGAATAGAGGAGATGATCACCAACTAAAACAGCTCTTGATTTTCAAACAAATTCTCCCTGTCTGCCTCTTTGGTAGTGTATGGAGAACAGTATGGAGAATATGCCCACTGATGTTAGGGTGCAAAGGATTAAAAGTTTAAAAATGAAACCGTTGACCAAGTTGAACAGTATCTTTTTTTTTTTAATCACTTAATGACTTATTTACTTGTTTTATTCCTCTAGGGTCACTTGAGTGATGGTGTTATTGCAGCAAATGCAAAACTTGTTGAGCTGGATCTCAGTGACAATGCATTTGGCCCTGATGGAGTGAAGGCTTGCGTAAAGTTGCTGACAAGTCATGCCTGCTACTCATTACGCATTCTTAGATTAAATAACAATGGTCTTGGTGTCGGTGGAGGAAAGGTATGTGAATACTGGTAACTCTGCAAGGTGATGTGGAATATCAGGGTTTGCCAAATATTTTTCTGCCCTTGTTGGTAATCAAAATGGTTGCTGCTTTGAATACTACCCAACAACCAAATTGATTATTCTTAAAGATGCCAACTATTGCCAATTTTTCTTGACAGATCCTCTCAGAGGCACTGATAAATTGTCACAGAACAAGCTCTGAAGCAGGAACACCCTTACAGCTTCAAGTCTTCATATCTGGGAGAAATCGCCTGGAAAACCCTGGAGCCAAATCGTTAGCAGCAGCATTTGAGGTAGGAGATTTGTGGAATCAGTTTTCATGGTGCTGTGGCAGGGGTAGGGGAAAGTGCCTCTCATGTTTGATTCCAACCTTCTGAG